CACCTGTTCTGACTCTGGCACTGTTGGTTTTCTTTTCTAGTACTATTGCATTTTTAATTTTCCTATTAAAGAACTGTTATTCCTATTCCCACATCTTTGCCTGAGAGCCCCTTAATTCCAAAATTATAACAATTTGGAGGGAGGGGGTTTGCATTTTCCATTTCAGGGGAGGCTCCTGCCTCCCTCAGCAGACACCTGGCTGTTCAGACCAAGACAGCCCGACCTCGGCCGGGTCAGTGGTGCCCACAGCCGCTCCCCCGTTCCCCCAGCCCGTTTCCCTCACGTTCTCCTGCCGCATGGCGCTGGCGGTGCGGGCGATGACCTCGATGGCCGCGTCCCGGCGGCAGCGGTCGATGAAGATGATGCCGCTGAGCCAGCAGGCCCAGCCCACCGTGCCCAGGTACAGCAGCTCCCGCTTGGCGATGGGCACGCAGCGCTCGGGAATCACCTCCACCATCCCTGGGGCACGGACAACGCCCGTTAACACCTTCCCAACCCCTGGCAGTGGCAGCAGAAAAATCACCTGGGAAAACTGCTCGTAAGCGGAACCCCAGGTTGGACAAACCAGCTGGATATCAGCAATAAATTTTGCAGCTCAGCCAGTCCTGAGAGGTGATAACTGCAGAGAGGAGCTCTCTGGAGAGGCCAAGTTACATCCGTGCACAGATTAACTGATAATTTATACCCTAATATAATTTATACTCTAATGAATCATTCATACCCTAATATAGGGCCAGGTTGGGGTTGTTTTAGCCTTGACTTAATGGACTTTAAGCTGTCCCCAGTCTCAGTACCACCCTGTGGCATCACCTCCCGTTGTCCCTCCTCTCCCTGCAGCACAGCCCTGTCCCAAAAGCTCTCCTGGTCCGCTCCCACCATGCCCGCCCTAATCCCGGTGCTGACTCCCCAGAGCGATCCTGGTGCGCCCTGGAGCCCCCAGAGGCGCCGGGACTCCCACGCCGCCCCCACGCACCCATGAGGTCCAGGGAAGCCTGGTGGTTGCAGACGATCACGAAGGGCCCCGGCAGCCGCAGCAGCTCGGAGTCCCTCACCCGCATCCTGATGCCGTAGAGGTGCTTGAGGGGCAGGAGTGCAGCCCGCAGGAGCCTGCCGGAGACAAGGGACGAGATAAGGGACGAGACAAGGGACGAGATGAAGCGGAGGGACCCTGTGGGAGCGGCTCTGTACCCGCCTGGGAGGGCTGGGTTAGGCTGGGCTGCGCTGCCGGGGCCGCGCTCAGGCTCAGCGGGGCTCGGAGCTCTCACACATTTGCGGCCGGTGAGGCTCGGAACTCGCCCGGCTCCCACCTGAGCTGGGCCCAGCTCCTGGCTCAGAGCAGAGGGAGCTGCTGAGGACGAGAGTGGCCAGCACGAGGTGGTGGCAGGGAAGAAATGGGACTTTGATGCCCAGGGATGATGGGAAAGCAAAAAGAGAAGGGGATGGAGATGGGGAAGTGATGCCATCAAGGCAGGACGGAATGAAATTACTCTACTTCAGAAGGTGAGAGAGTAGAACTTTGATTTATTTCAAATACACTGCTCTTTTTATAGAGAGCTTCAGTTTAGACCAATTCTCTTGATCCTGAAGTAAAAACATCTCTCACCATTGGTATGCAGTGAATAATGTTCAGTGGCAGAATTTATCTATAAACAATGTGAACAACAAGACAGATAAAGAATTATTTACATTATTTCCCAGTTTCTCAGGCTTCTGCCTGGTTAGAAACCTTTGTTTTCTCTCTGCCTGAACTGAGAATACCCACAGGGAAGGGGACAGGGATGGGATTTCACATCCCAGGGAGGACAATCTGTCTCTGCCCGGGGGAGGCTCCCCAGGGGCCCAGCTGGAAATCCAGATCCCAGAGGCAGATTCCAGCCGAGAGGAGCTGAGCTGGGCATGGATGAGCCCTGGGGATGGATGCCAGAGGGACAGGCAGATCCCCAGGGACGTGGGGGACCCCAGGCACTGCCCCTGCTCTGCTTTGTGGGTCAGGAGGAAGGGAAAACCAGCCCAATCCACAGCTATGGGGAATCACAAATCTCCACCAGATCCGCAGTGTCGGGAAGAGATGGATCTGAGCCAAAAAGTGGTGTCACATCCCGGGAGGGCTGGACAGGAGGAGGAATATCGGGATGGCAGCAGTGGGTGATGCTCAGTATGGGAATAATGAGAGGAGTGGAGGAAGGAGGGAGCACCAGGGATTCCAGCAGCCGTGCAGATAAAATCCTGGGACACGTCGGTGTTGGAATGGGGCACTGTCCAACCCACAGAGGGTCTGTGCCAGGGTCCCCACATCTGTCATTGCCCCCAGGGGACAGCGCAGGGCGCAGGGAAGGACTCAGCACCAGGCAGGGTGAGAGGAGAGAAGGAGGCACAGGGCCCGTGGTATCTCCCCCATCCCTCGGGAGCCGCAGGCTCGGAGATCCCTGAGGATCCGAGGAGAAACAGTGCCCCAAAGCCAGGACTAATGACAGAGAAGCGCCCGGTGGGACAAGATAAGGCAGCGCTGATAAGGCAGGTGAGTCACAGCCTCCCTCGGGGGTTTCCACTGAGCCGGAAGAGCAGCCCGGGATGCGCCCAGCGTTCCTGCCGGGAGGGACCCGGGAGAGGCTGCGGCGCCTCCGGCACCACCGAACCTCGGACCGGCACCACCGAACCTCGGACCACGCTCCCGCCGCGGGCCGGGGTCCCTCGGCACAAATCCTCAGCGAGTTTCTCAAGCTGGGATATTTTCCCTGTGTAATTACATCCTCCTGGTGTGCTCATCCTGCCCGGGAATCCAGCAACGCGACTGCAACACCCTGAGAGCTCCCAAACCTTCCTCGGGTGTTGCACAGCGATGTTATCTCCCCGGTGTTATCTCCCTGCTTCCACCCTCGGGAGCAGAGTCAGGACGTGGCTGTGATCAGGACATGGCGTGATGGGGACAGGGCTGTGCCCCTGCCAGGTGATGGCACCAAGACATGCCAAAAACATAAAAACATGGAATAGTTTGTGTTGGAAAGGGCCTTAAACCCAGCCAGTATCACCCCCAGCCATGGGCAGGGACACCTCCCACTGTCCAGGGCTGCTCCAAGCCCCAACCAGCATGGCCTGGGACACTTCCAGAGAAGAGGCAGCCATGGAGGGCCTCTCCACCCTCAATCCCTCTGGCAAAGTGCTGTTCCTGGGTCTCTCATGGGCAAAACCAGAGCCAGCAACACAGAACTGGGCATGTATTTGCCCCCTGCCTTGACGGTACCTCCAAACCCCCCTGTTATCCACCCAAGTGATGACCCCAACATTGTCATGGCCAGGAATGATCCCATTTATGTTATTTCATACCTCAGAGACCACAGATCCCAACTCCAGCGTGGCCTGACCCTCCCTGGGTACAGCCAGAACCTCTCACACCACGAGCTGCACTTCACTGCCCCACGGATGTGACCACAGCCCTGGCCTTGGCCCCAGGGCTCCGCCGCCAGCTGTGGCCCAGCTGTGGCTCCAGCCAGGGCAGGGCAGAGCCTGTGGCCACAAACGACGGGATTTCCTCAGCTGAGCCGAGCCCCAGCCAGCTCTCCCCACCCCAGTCCGCACTCACCTCATGTTCTCCACGGAGCGTCCCCGGAGGGCGGCCACGGGGGACAGCAGGGTGGCCAAGGCCACGATCCAGCAGTTGAAAAAGGCCACCTTGCAGAGGAACTGGAAGGGGGGGCTGTGCCTGTAGAGCAGCAGTGCTGCCAGGGGCAGCAGCAGCAGCCCGTGCAGCAGCAGCAGCAGCAGCAGCGGGTCCATGGTGCTCCCCGAGCGCAGCCCGGGCCGGGAGCGGGGCAGGTGAAGCAGGAGGATCCTGCGTGGGCGGCCGGGGCTGGCCCTGGGAGGGTTCCCTGTGGATCCCGTCCCCAGGATGGAGTGGCTCATGGAACCAGGACACCCACCCGAGGGTGGAGAGTGGCTGTGAGTCACTCGGGGACCCTGAGTCACCCGAGCTGTCACCGCTGTCACCTCCTGGGCTATTGAAAGCCATTGCAGTGACTCCTGAGCGGTAAGCTCAGACCTGCTGCTCACAGGTGTCCCTGCCCCGGGAATCTCTCCTGGCCACGGGGCTGCCGGCCCTGGGAAAGGGAGTCTCAGCTGGTGGGGACAGCAGGAGCTGTCCTGGTCCATGGCCATCGCCCCAGCCGGGCTGGGCACAGTCACCTGCTGGCACCCAAACCTCACCCTGCAGAGCACCAGAGTATTGGAAGACATCTCCCACCTGGAATGACAGCAGGAATGTGGCACCACTGCTCCCCATCCCTTGCTCAGTTTGGGCAGCAGGAGCCCCTCTGTCCTTCCCCTCCCAAAGCCCAGCATCTGTCCCCAGGGCCCCACAGTGCCTGGGGTGCCAGGCTCTGCCACCCCCGGCTGCCAGCCCAGCCTGCGGGAGGTGCCAGCCCTTGACCCAGTTGGCAGCCAGGAGTTGTGTTGCATGAGGTGTTTTCACAAGTGTAATTAGCACAGGCTGTAATTAACCTCTCCTCCTGCTCTGGTGCCTTGCAGGATCCAGGCCAGCCCCCTGGAAACTCCTGGAACCAAGTCCTTGTCACAGCAGGGACACTGGGCTGGTGTCAGCCCCCAGCAGCCTCTCCCAGCCCCGCTGGTCCATGGCCCAGATCAGGGAATCCCAGAATTCCAGGAGGGTTTGGGTGGAAAGGACCTCACAGCCCATCCAGTGCCACCCCTGCCATGGCACGGACACCTTCCACCATCCCAGGGTGCTCCAAGCCCCATCCCACCCGGCCTGGACACCTCCAGGGCTGGGGAAGGAGGGACACACCTGCATCCCTGCCCCCCTGCATCCCTGCATCCCTGCCCCCCTGCCCCCCTGCATCCCTCCCTCCCTGTGCTGCTGCCCAGAGCCCTCAGCTCAGCCCTGACCTCGGGCCAGGAGCTGGGAGCAGCGAGATCCCCTCGTGCCTCCCCACAGAGCCCCAGCGGGGTCTCGGGGGTCTCCCAGTCCCCCAGGCCCCTCCTGGGCAGGCGTCAGCTCTGCTGGGACCCTCCCAGCCTCAGCCCAGCCTCTGCACGGCTGCCCCGCTGTGCCCAGGGCTGCCCTTCCACGCCTGCCCCTGTCCCTGGAGGTGACAGAGATGTCCCCAGGCTCTGCCCGTGCTGGAGGGTGCCCCAGTTTGACCAGTAACCCCGGGGTTACATCCACCAGGAGTGTTGCAATGCCCATTGCTTCACCCTCCCATTCCTCTCATTGTTCTCATATTAAAGCAAAGATTGGGTCACATTTCGAGCCCACCCTTCCTGTCCAGCCCATTCCAGGTGACTCCTCACCTCCTCCTTCCCATCCTGTGTCCACGGGGGAATCTTTGGGCACCAGCCTGGTCTCCCATCAAACCCAGCTTTGCTTTTAGATGCTTCCTTCAGTCCCTCCCAGCTGGAGGAGCTGGGCCTTCCTGAGGGAATCCAGCATGATCCTCCTGCTCCACATTTGAGAGCTCCTCCAGGGGCCAGCCTGGGGAAGATCTGTCCATTCCAGAGCACAGGGAAGGTAAATCCTGCCTTCCACTGGGCAGAGGAGAGGCAGGACAGTCCAAGGAGGGGGTTTAAGGTGCCTTTCTGCATCCTCAGAGCTCCAGACCACTGGCCCCAAGGTCTCCTGCCAGGAGCTCTGCTCCAGGGAAAAGCCTGGAACCCACCTAGGGCACAGCAGGGCTGGCACCTCTCCATGGGGCTGGCGAGGTGGCACAGGCAGGGGACAGCTCCCAGCACCCAAAAGCCTTCACTCCCCACTTCCCCCTGCTTCCTGGAGTGCAGAGGGGCTGCTGAATCCTGGGAAACTCCAGGATTTCCCTCTCAGCCTGCTCTCCAGACCACATCCCCACCAAGACCCAGCTCTGCCTGTGCTCAGCCAGATCTCACCCTGGAGCTCCAGCACCCCCTCACCCCCCAGACCTGACAGACCCCCAGGACTCCTCTCAGCCCCCCCAGACCTGACAGACGCCCAGGACTCCTCTCAGCCCCCCAAGCACTGACAGACCCCCCAGCACCCCCAGGCACTGCCAGACCCCCTCCCCCCATGGCTCTGGGTGCCCCCAGCCCTGAGGGAGCCCCTGCACTCAGGCACGGAGCCACCAGCCCATGTAATTACAGATGCTTAATTAGCGACAGCAGGGCTCTCTCTTAACAAAGCAAATTAATTACAGGCAACGCTGCATTGAGAGCTGGAGGGACTAATGAAGGCTGGGAGCATCGTCTGTGCCCACCCCGGCACTCAGCACAGCCTGTGCCACCCCGGCCTGGTGGCTTGGTGGGGACACAGGGCCCGGCTGGCACCGGGGCTGTGACAGGGCGGTGGCACCCCTGCCCTGGCACCGCCATGAGCCATGGGAAGCGTGGAGCATCCATCCAGGACCGGGGGATCGAGGGAGGCAGAGCTCACAGCCCCCGCTCCTCCACACTGTAGTACTCTGTGGGACAAGGAGGGATGGGATGGGATGGGATGGGATGGGATGGGATGGGATGGGATGGGATGGGATGGGATGGGATGGGATGGGATGGGATGGGATGGG